TCTGCAGGGTTTGTGCTGCCACAGGAGACCTTGACACAGCCCCAAAGGGACAGAGGCTGCAAAAACTCAGGGGCAATCTCCAGTCTGTCCCATGGCTGTCTGGATCTCATTTTAATTCACAGGAAATTTCTCTCCCAGTTTGACCAGGGCTGTAGCTGCAGCTGCTGGTGTTTAAGCACCCATTTGCAGGCTGCAAAACAGACAAACAACCAGAGGAAGGGCACATCTCAGCTTCAAAGCCAGTAAAGACATCCAAAAAAAGCCGAAAGACACACGCACAAAAAAAAAGCCAATATAACAACATCACATCGCCCACCCACCCAAGTACAAGAGCCTTCTTCAGCTTGCTGGTTTAATTAAAGTCATTTATTATCTTATGCTGGGAAGATGAAAATCCCTAGGATGGTAGGAATCCCAGCCCTACAGTGGTGGGAACTAGGTGTTTGCAACCAGCAGGGCTGTGGCAGGAGTGTCCTGTGCCTGCATCCCAGTGAAGAAAGGTTTGCTGCTAGTGCTTTCCTGATCCAAACTGTTTCTCACAGAGCCATAAGTTTGAACTCTGAGTCCATCCAACAGGTAGTTTCCAGGGAATGAAAAGGTCTCAAAGGTTTTCCAAAGCATGGGAGTAACAGAGCTCTTCTCCACCACCATTTTGTAGTCTCTGGGTTATGGAGTTTGTGCTGTATTTGTGCATCTGCAGAGTCATTATTTGCCCTCACGCACCCAGGGACTCAGGAGATGAGCTGCTGAGACACAGACAGCAGGGAAATCAAGGGCACAGCTAAGCAAATCTCCTTTTTCCTCCATTCTGATGGACTTACATCCATTTTTGCATCCCATCCCCTGAGATGACATCTCCCGAGAATCCTTGTCCTCCCAGCAGCCACAAATAAACACGGAGCAAAATGTGGCAACAAAAACTGCCTGCCAAGGGCAAAATCATTTTTTAAAGGAGCTATGAATAGTAGGATGAGGTTTTTATCTTCATGTTCCCTTCACGTGCTTTCTTATTATATTTCCAAGTGGGAATATCCCAGGCTTTATGTGCTTGGCCATGCTGATGTGACTTTCAGTGCTGGGACACAACCCTGGAAAATAGTCCACAGAAGGATGGCAGGTGATGCTACCCATGGAGGAGCATCAACCACTTCTCACAGAACCATTTAGGTTTGGAAAGACCTCCAAGGTCATTGAATCCAACCTCGAAGATCATTGAGTCCAACCATCATCCATCACTGCCAAGTGCAGCACTGAACCACATCCCACATATCTATGCCTTTTCTGGAGTATTTTTACACTTTTTAAACTTCATTTTCTAGTTTTTTTAGACTGCTGCTCAATCCTCATCACCACTAAAAAAGGAATTTTTGCCAGCTGGAAAGGAGAGGTGAGGGCAACAAGGAGGTAGTCAGGGACGTCACCATGCAGGGCAGCGCATCCCAGTCCTGGGCAAAGAGAGCAGGGCAGATCCATTTAAAACAGCCCAGGGCAGCCAAAACAAGTCAGAAAAGGAGCTGGGCTGAGCACCTGAGCTTAGATGCCTTTCCCAAGAAGGGCTGGTGGATCTCCAGCAGGATTTTTCCCAGCTGTTTCTCATCCCCATCCTTCCCCAAGGCTGTGGCTGTGCCATGTCCCAGCTCCCCTCCAGCACAGGCAGCCCAGCCCTGGAGAGGCAGGAAGGCTGTTGGATTAAGCCCTTTTCTGACCCAAAGATGGGGCAACTGAGGGACATTTTAAAGACTTTTATTCTATTTTCACTCTCATGTGAAGGATGAGACAATACAGATGTTATAATTCACGCCATCACAATCAGAAACCAATTATTTCTTAATTACAATGCATTATAAGCATTTCTTGGCCTATCAGCTTTTTTGCTACACCATGCTGTAAAAGCCTTAAAGCCAATAATTTAAAATTACCCCCTGTGGGTCCTATTACAGTGCATCTTTCATAGTTTTATTTCTCTAAAATATTTAGTCTTTTTTGCAAGGCCATCCTTTGAAATTTGTTTCTCCATTTCTCTCTCAGCAATGTCTGTCCCATTCCAGGGCATTTCTAAGCCAGCATTTCTTATCTCAAGGTTTGCATACAGATGTGAGCCTTCTGCCAGGTTTTGAGAATCCCCTACAAATCCATTCCCCACATTGACTGCAGACCCCAGCCCTGCCCTCGGTGCCCCAGCAGCAGCAGAAAGCTTGAAAATCACCTCTCATTCTTCCTCAGCTCCCGAGGCAGCCCAAGGGCACAAACCCTTGTGCGCAGCTGGAGTGGATTGGCAACCTTGGCATTCAGCTGCCTGTTCAGGGGAGGGCGAGCCAAGGGGGGGCACATCAGCTGTGAGTTCTGGCACCTCATTCAGGCAAAGGCCTTGAAGTGGGAGCTGCAGAGCGATGCCATCCAGCTGCTCCCTCCCTGCTGCTGGCCCGGGGGCTGGCAGGGTGCTGCAGGACGCGGGGCGAGGCGTTCGCCGTGTTTGAAATGGCTCCGTGCATCCTCTCTGCTGCTGAGCTTCCTCCAAAATATACCCAGACACCATTTTACAGCCTTCCTGCATGGCCTTTCTTGAAAAAGAGAAATAAATCATGGATGTATGTCAGAATCTGAGGTATTGATGATCCTGAGGTTGTAGAAAGTCTCTGTCTTTCAGCCCCACTGCCAAAGCAGAAGCCATAATTGGTCTGTGCTGGTTCCAAGGTTGTTTATTCTGTTTATCTCTAACATGTTCTGCTGCCCTGCCCAGCTCTGTCCTGCAGGGCAGCGTGTGGGGCTCTGCCCTCAGTGGGATGTGACAAACATTAAATACCAGAAACTCCCTGGGCTGCATTTACAATAACGTGCCAATATCTGTCACCTACGTTGGACAGTGTGTCCCCAGCCTGAACCAACAGAAAAATGCCAACACCACAGTGAGACATGGAGGGCATGAAGAAGGAGAAAAAGGACAAGACACACCCAATTTCCTCCATCTTGTCCCCTTTGGACCCCTCATCTAGAATCCTGAAATTTTACTTTTGCACCCGTGCCACACTTAATTATTACTCATATCAAACACTCAGAGCTTGTAATTCATGCTGTAAGATTGAAAACTCTTTTCCATGGCCAGAGATCACAGCCAGTGTCTCTGGGGGCTCTGTCCAGGGGGGTTCCTGAGCCCTGCCAGGGTCCCAGACCTGCCAGGGCAGCCAGAGGGAAGCTCTGGATTCCCACAAATGTACACCCATGCAGCTGAGCTTCCTCCAAAAACATACCCAGATAATATTTTATAGCCTTCCTTCATGGCCTTTCTTGAAAAAGGGAAGTAAATGATGGATGTACACACATGCAGCTAAGCTTCTCCAGAAACATATCCAAACAACACCTTACAGTGTTCCTACACAGCCGTTCTTTAAAAAGAGAAGTAAATCAGGGATGTACACACATGCAGCTGGGCTTCCTGCAGAAACATATCCAGATGACATTTTATAATCTTCCTTCACGGCCCTTCTTTAAAAAGAGAAGTAAATCACGGATGTACACACATGTAGCCTGTTGTCAGATGGGTGTATCCATGGAAAAATTAAAAGCTCAGAATCCCTAATTTAAATATCTGCACATCTGCCTGCCTAAATCCTTGTCTGAGTGCACTCCTGCATCCATGTCCATGTCCTAAGACCACCCCAAAGCTGCCTGGTCCCACTGGAGCAGGGATCTTCTGGCTGCAGGAGTCCCTGAGCTGCTGCTGGGAATGCTCCAGCTCCCAGGGCACAGGGAAACAGCTTTTTTTTCCACCAAATAAATCCACCCCTCTCCATCCTGGCTCATGGAAACCTGGCCCAGGAGCAAGTTCATGTTCACAGCCTGTGGGGCAGGGCAGTGCCAGCCCCCACGGTGGCTTCCCAGAGCTCCAATCCCCTCAGCTGCTTCCAAATTTGCAGCCTCCTCCCTGGGAAACTTCAGCCTGGGTTTATTGGGAGTAACCACAGCTGGATGAGGGAAGCTTTGGCTCCTCTGTGTCAAATGTGGTTTTTTGGGTTGGGTTTTTTATTTTATTCCTCCCCGAGGCTTTAAGGTTTTGTTGTATGACCGCTGGGTTTTGGCAGCAGGCACAGCTGGATGCAGGGCTGGCTTTTAGTGACTGGGTTTTCTCTTTGGGAAGCATCTCGGAGGAAACTGGGCTGCAAATGGGATTGTCAGGATCAGCTGTGGGGTCTGAGAGCTGCCACCGAGGCTGAGGCTCAGCTTGGGCCATGCATGATGCAGCAAGAAGGCACACAGCCTCACATTTCCTTCTAAAGAAAGCTCAAAAAGGTTTTAATTCTATATTTTTACTTCTTCTTAATTTTGTTGTTGTCATTGTTGGCCTGTTTAATTTAATTTTTTAAATGGAGAATCAGTTTTAAATTAACTTCAAGGTGTGCAAGACAAAGTATTCATATTTTTCATTCAGAAGCTGCAGTTAAAAAAAAAAAAAGTTAACAACAATGTTATTTTTGATTTTGGCTGCTTCTAGTCTGCTTTACTGCTCTTTCCTAACAAGTAATTGAAATATTTCCTGGATACTTTCCAGATCATTTCTTCCCTCTGACACTGACAAAGATCAGCTAGAGATGCAAACTGCTACGATCCCAAATCACCTGGCTTGTAAGACGACAGGGCCGTGCTTAATTTAAAAGGAGATGAAAGGTGAGGGGAAGCTCATCCTGCTTTTCCCTGGATATGTGGGCATGGAGCAGAATCCATGTGTTTTACAGTGCCTGCTGATCCTTGGGCCCTGCATGGCTGTGCCACAGGGCTCAGGGGCTTCTGCTGCAGCTGCAGCTGCCTCTAAAATGCATTTGAGTGGCAGGGGGTGGCTTGTGCTCGTAGTGACACCTTGGAACGTGCACATTCCAAGTTATTCCCTGTAATCCCAGCTCCTCCTTCTCGATCCCCTCGCACTCTCCTCTGCTGACGCAGGCCAGTTAATTTTGGCTTCTAGAACATGCAATAAATAGAAAGAAGGCAACGGAAATAAAACCATCTTTCAGTCGGGTTTTTATTCCAAGCACTTCTTCGAGCTGCATTGGGCTGCTCCTCTCCAGCCCTGGGTGCTTCCATGGAAAGCTCTTTCCATACAAAATTCCCCTTTCCCCCCAGAGCATTGAGGGAGCTGCTCAGACCTCACTGCACTCTGCACAGGAATAGGATTTTTTTTAACCTCAGAGAGTTTCCTCCTTGCCAATTAATTCAATCATCAGGTGTGTCACTGACAAAAATCAAGTATTGTTTATGTCAGTGACCCAAAGGCAGGGTTTATTCCCTGAATCCTCTCAATTTTATGACATTTATGTTTTTAATAATACTGAGCAGATATTGGGAATTGCAGTCACGTAAAGGGCTCAGAAATTATGAGCAATACAAGCAGTACTGGTAGCTCCTGTATTCAAAATTTCACTTCTGCTTTCATGCTTTCTATGAACCGTTCAGTTTTCTCTGATAACCCAAATACCACAAAGCTTTATGCCTCAAAATCTTCCCCCTTCCCCCTCTGCTCTTGACACTGTCACTTTTAAAGTGAGTTGAAATGCCTCCCGACTCACCCAACACAAGCAGCTTTGCAAAGCATCCAGAATTAGAAGGTAAAATTTAACTGAAAGTCCACAACCAGAAAAATAAAGACCCAGCCCATGTTGCCAGGGTATTTTGCTGTTTACAGTTTATTTTGTAATGACAATGTTACGTCGGTAATGAGAACAGACCATTGTGCATCGCTCGCTTCAGTAACACAGCAAAGGTGGTTCCAGTTGTAAAATAAATAATAAATAAGAAAGCAGCTATCTCCTTATAAACACAGCCAAGACAACAGCCAGAGGCTCAGAGGTGGGACCAGGATGGGGGTGGTGGAAGAGGACTCGGAGTAACATCCCCAAACTGGTCTTTGGTCCCTTGCTCTGCTCAAGCAGCTGTGAAAAGCCCAAAGGATGCTGTGCTCTGGCTGTTGCTGAGACAGAGGGGCAAAAGAGAGTTCCCTTGGCAAGGAGTGAGTACCAGTGGGATAGGGATCTCCAGGTTTGGTCTTTGGGGATAAACAGAGCCCTGGAAAGCAGCCCTCAGCAGAGAGCAGTGCTGGTGGCACATCGCCCAGGACCCAGCACAGGCTCCACATCACCCACCCACCCACCATTGCTGCCAAGTGGGACCCACACCTCTCCAGGACCCCAAAATTCCTGCTGAGAGGGACTTTCTGAAGAGCTGCCCCCAGGTCTGGGCTGGTGATGTGTCCTGCCACGCCCTGAGTCACTGAATTTACGGGATGATTTCACTCACTCCACGCATTTCTGGTAAAGTGCTGTGTCCGCAGCCTGGTTTCACCATCCAAGCCCAATTATAAACCCAGGCAAAGCCCCAGGGTTTTCTCTCCCATGTGTGAAAATCAAAGTTTCCATAGAGTTGCTCACCAAAGTACCTGTTTGACCTTTCTGTTCCCTGCCTAGGACAAGGTGGTGAGATACCTTCCACATCTTTAAGGGAGAGAGGGAACAACGTGGGCTGCAAAGCATCCTTGCCCTGCCATCCAAACTTTCTAGCAGCTCTCCCTGCTGCTACTGGTGTATACCTTGCTCCAAAACCGTGCTACAAATCTGTCTGGTCCTCTCAAATTATTACACAGAAAAGGTGGGAAGCATGCTAAGTGCTACAACAGCTAAAATAATTTAACTTACAAGCTCCCCGGAGCAAGGGATACACGTGTGTGCTTTCAGCAGTGCTCCTCTAATAAATATAGATATAATAATAATAACAATGATGAAATAAATAACAGCAACAGGGATAAAACGTCACGCATGTGACCTAAGATTAGGTGCAATCTGAAGGTCGCGGAGCTCGAGCGAGGGATCAAATCGTCACTGCACTGGAAGGAGGTTGAAAGCTTTGCTGCAGAGCATGCATAGGATACAGCTGGAGGGTCTTGGGATCAGGAGAAGGCAGGTGCAGGATCCCTCCAGCTGGAAATGCCACGTAGTGTCGGGGCTTTTGTCCTGGCCATTCCCCGCGAGCGGGAGCGGCAGGCTGCCGTGCTGGCCCTGCCGGTCAGGGCGCAGTGGGAGCTCTCGTTGTGGCTGCTCAGGGGAACCCCATCTCCTCCCGCTGCTCTCGCAGCTCAAACCCCATTTCTTTCCACTCCTGCAGTGCCAAAGCTCTCCGGCCGGGCTGCGAGGGGAGGCTGCGGGCTCCCACCGCCAGGCAGGGAGGAATGAGAGCCGTGTTGGCGGCTCCGGGAAGCGCTGGAGGTGCTGGGGATCCTGCTGAAAGCCCAGAACTTCAGCTGGAACCCCAGCACGCCGGCCTCGGCCTGCGCCCGGCCCCCGGGCCCCTCGCTCAGGTGTGCGGCCGCTTGCCGGAGCCGCGGCCGGCGGCCTGCCGGCTCATGTCCTGGTAGGAGGCGGATTTCAGGAAGCGGGGGTAGGAGTCCTTCTCCATCAGCGTGCGCGTCTTGGCCTGCGCCTCGTTGAAGCAGGCGGAGGTGGCCCCCGAGAGGTTCTTGCGGGTGATCTCCCTGGTTTCGTGGTCGATGTTCACCTGCAAGGCAGCAGCACCCAGAAACGTTACCGCCTCTCCTAAGCGAGGACAAAACCTGGTTTTAAAAGACTGACTGGCAAAATCTTGGCCTCAAGAGGAATTTTTCCTATGAAAACCGCTTGTATGGGGTTGTACAAGCGGTTTTTATAGCGGTACAAGGATGGAGGTGTGTAGGCATAGAGGAAAACCTCTGCTGAGGCTGACTCTTTGTTGCACACCCAGGGCCGACCCCAGGCTCAGCACTGTTCTTTCCTTGTGGATAGATAGAATTTGATTGCAAAATAAATATTTTATTTTTTCATTTTAATGTGGCTGGACAAATTTTCATTTATAACAAACTCTTCAGATGCGGGTGAAGACACTCACAAACCTTTATATCCCTTCATGGTTAGACTCAATTTCTGTTCCAACATTATGTGATGGACCACACGATGTTAGAAATGAAAGCTCTCATGAACAAGAGCACATCTTCCCACTGATCCAGCAGCAATTTAATAAAATCTACCAGGATATTTTATTCCTTTCCCACCCTATTTGATGCGACAGAAAATGGTCTCACCTCCCTGGGCGCCTCACTTTGGACAAACTCCTCGAAGATCCTGTTGGCTTTGGAGGCCAGCTTGGTTTTCGACCGGGTCTTTTTGAAGTCCTCGCATGCCAGCCAGAAGTCGAGGTTCTCCTCACTGAATTCAGTCTTCAGGAAGGTGTGGAATGCATTTACCCCACCTATGGAGGGGAGAGAAGAGCAATTAATGGGGAAGGAGGCGGGGAGGAAGAGGACCAGCAGCAGACACTGCCTGGCGAGCGTTGCCCTGGGAGCTCAGACCGTGACATCCGCAGATTTCCTTTCCTTCCGGGCAAATTCCACCCTCTGAGACACCACTAATTGGCCTCTAGACTCCAATAAAATCCTTTCCCACAGACAAGTAATCCTCTGGTTTTATTTATCTGACCTTTCTGTAATGAGGCTTCAGAGTATTTTCTTTACAGCTTCGGAAAAGAGCTAATTCTACCTAAGGAGAAGCACGCTGACGCATCGGAACACTGCAGGAGCCGAGCAGCAGAGACTTGATTTTGATTTCTCAGCCCAGATCTGGGGGGAATGAGATGCTGAGGACAGGAGAGAAATTGCAGCAAGGATTTCAAAGCTGTGCTGGGAGGGTGGATTAAGTTACAAAGCTAGAGATGCTCATTAGCCATCACAGCACGTGAGGGAGACCAGGAAGAAAAATACAGTTGGCCCCAGACTAGCGCTGTGGAGGGACTTTGTCTGGCTGGGGAAGAGCTTTTAAGGTAGACAACTGCTTTTGGATTAAAATTTGATACTTCTGCCATCTGAATTTTGCAAAGCTCAATCAAGGTAATCTTTTTTTAAAGGTAAATAGATAATTACAAAGTCTTGTTTTGTCAGCAGTCTCGTTTTGGCTCTCATTATATTCTGAGTTATCATCTCTATAATTGTAAAAACTGTCTTTGGAGACTGCCATTGTGCAGAGCCCAGTGTAAGGAGGGGATGATGTGTGGGACTGAGAAAGAGGTCCCATCTCTGGGTCTGGAGGAGCTGCCTCCATGGGCGGAGGGAGACAGCATCTCACAGGAGCCCTGTGCATCGCAGACACACAGCTGATTCCAGAGTAGGGAAAGGGCAAGGTTATCCAGTCAAACTGCTGAATTCCTGCACCTGTGGAAGAGCCATCCCCGGAGGCACAGGACAGACAGACAGGGCAGCAATGCAGTTGTCTGAACAAGCCTGAGGGGAGGTGCCTGCATGGCTGTTTCCACCAGACACCGAGAGCAGACACTGCCTCTCCCCATTGTGGAGAATGGGGTGCTTTGGGAATACCACGATGTTTCCCCTCCTGTGACAGCAAGCAGCAAGACAACACTTCTGCCCCCCAAAAAAAACCCAGCCAGGAGGAAAGGGCACAGCTTCATGGGGCAGGCAATGAGCCCCGTGCCTCAGATCTGGGCAGGAAAGGGACTCTTTCTAGGTCCTATAACACCTCATTTGAGCAGGAGGTGAGATTTCATCTTACAGTGACTCCAGGCATACAGCTCACTATGAGTATATTTGTCCTACACACTCTCACCAAGAGAAGAAAACAAGATGCTACTCACTTTTGCTCTTGAGGAGCTGGTCAAAGGACTCCCTCCATTCCAGCACCTCTCGGGAGGAGTCTCTGGAAAAGACAAAAAGGATGTGAGGCTCACTGTCCAGCAGTGAGGGCTGGGAGCACTTCAGCTGTGCAGCTCCATCACCGGGAGACAGCAGCATTCAGCAGGAGACCAAAGCCAGGGGCCGATATCCATTACCTGTGGGCTCTCTTTCCTCTCTCTTCCCTTTCTTTCACCTTCCCTGATGGCTCACCCGACCTCATCTCCATGCTGCTCTAGGGGATGCTCAGAAGAGCCTTTTCCTGCTGGCCCAGCAGAGCCTCCCCTGCAGAAGACCCCCTGCCCTCAGCAGCAATATTTAGTGTTCCGTGTTTAATGCTGCCTGCATTCCCCGAGGATCCCAGCCGCTGGTGTGAGACACCAGGAAGTGCAGGAGCCCTGCGGGTTCCTTGCCTCTTGCCAAGGAACTTGCCTCTAGCTCTCTGTGCCTAATGCCAGAGCATCCGCTCCCGCGGCGGGTTTTATAGGCGCCGGAGCAGGGAAGCGATCCGCCTTCCCGGCCCGCCGGGGTGGGACCGCGCGGAGGGGAGCTGAGCTCCGCGCTGCGCAGCCGGCTGCAGCATCCTCGCCAAGGGCTGCTCCGTGGGGGCTCGGCCCGGGCTGCGGCCGGGGCAGAGCTTGGCTTGGCTTACCTGCGCCTAGAGCCCAGCTGCAGCTTGCCGGAGCTGCCCGCCTTGTGTCCCAGCTCGGCTTTATGAAGCAGGATGCCCAAGCGGCTCTTCAGATCCTTGGCTCTGGAAGGGAGGAAGGGAGAGAGGGAGGGGTGAGATGGGATCTCCGGACCATCGGTCTGCTGCCTCCGCCGGCAGGGGCTGCACCCCACGGGCTCGGGGGGTCAGCCCTCGCTCCCTAGCTCCAGCCACGTCTTTGCTCCCTGGTGTGTGAAATAAATGCTCCCCCATTGCTTTTCCTGCTCCCTGGCAACCGCGCATTAAGCCTGGGGGACCGGTTTCTCCTACTCGCTTCCCAGGCAGACACATGGAATACAAAGCACGACGAGCCCTTTTCTCTGGGGCAGGTAAAAGCTGCTGAGTGCCCAGCTGGAGCCCCCCCAGCTCCCCGGAGCTGGTTCCTTTTCCCACCCCGCTCTCCCCCAGTGCTCCCAAACCGCTGGAAAAACACAGCGGTTTCTTTCCTCCCGGCACAGCGGGAGCATCTCCTGCTGCTGCCAGGCTGCTGCTCCCCTGCTCTCTTTTTCGGGGTGCCCTTGGGCCCCCAGGAGCCTTTCACCAGGCCGTGGAGAGGGCAGCGCTCCGCAGCGGCGCCATCCACCTACCCCATGGCTTTAGGAGGCAGGGGCAGCACGGATGCTCCTGTGCCAGAGGCTGGGATGCTCCTGTGCCAGAGGCTGGGATGCTCCTGTGCCAAAGGCAGGGATGCTCCTGTGCCAGGGGCTGGGATGCTCCTGTGCCAGGGGC